CCTCCTTCGGGGCCCACAGAGGGAGCCAGATTAGCACTGTCGCCTACGTACGGTAAAAGGGAGGGGAAGCCGTGGTCGAGTTTTCTTCACGGCACAGAAAAAAATGGGAGGCGCGCCAGGCCGGGGGTGGAGTGCTGAGGTTTCATTTGGCTTGTTAACGCTTTGGTGCCACCACTGCTAACGCAGCAGCAGCAGCGTCACCATAAATGTTGGACAGTACACCTAGCTAATTATTAAAAGAGTGTAGGGGGGATGTAACGTCAGCAGGCTGCACGTTAACCGCACGCGCCGTGATGTAAAGTTGACAACGTGCGCTTAGACGAAGATTCCACCACCACCACCCCCCATAGCCTTCAAGAGACTGTTGGAGAAAGTGGTGTTAGAGAGCACCTATGAAGGCCGGCACGGCACACGAGGGGGTGGGTGGCCCAGCCACCACGCTCGGCCGCCTTTGTCCCCCCAGTGGCGGTGTTTACACACCACACCGGGTACTCATTGCGGGGCTGAGTCGACCTAGGGGAGGCCCAGGACCGGTTCAAATAATCGTCACTGGCGGTGGCCGTGAACGAGAATCGATCCGCTACCCACCCCTCCTATCCACCAACCCCGCACTGATCAGCGTGGTGAGGGATATGCAGACAACACAGACTGGACATTTGCTTGAAACTACTGGGCATCTTTCGATTTAAAGCTTTTGTGACTGCAGGGATTCATCTTCTTGGTTCTTTCGGTAAAGTCACGTAGAATGGAAATAATAAAATAAAAAAAATAAAACAATAAAATAATTCTCACGACGTTTCGGCCACAACGCAAGTAGCCATCCTCAGGTGTCTGACAGACCTGTTCTTTACCTGAGGACGGCTGCTTGCGTTGTGGCCGAAACGTTGTGAGAATTATTTTATTATGTTTTTTTTTATTATTTCCATTCTACGTGACTTTACCGAAAGAACCAAGAAGATACTGGGCATCTGTGAAAAAAAATTGCTTTATAGCTCGTAAGATTCCTCCAGCATAAATACATATTCTGATAAAGGTGATGTAAATTATATTAGAGTCTCTTCTCTGGTGACAACTCGAAAAATATCTAATCCTACAACCCCATACTCATTGGTTCTTTCGGTAAAGTCACGCAGTTAGAAATAAAATAAATCACGAAGTTTCGATCGCAACACAAGCCCAATTCCTGAATTTGGGTCACCAAAAAAAAAGCCAGAAGAGCCTTGAGGAGTGGATTGGTTTCATGGGGCAACACTGCTGATGAGAGGTGGATTCTCCACTCGCGAATGCAACTGTGCAAATATCCAAACGCAGGAGGATCCTTCAATGAAGCTGGGTAAGCAATCATCATCGCCACCAGACATGCTCTATGTACCGCTCGATAAAGGCGTCTGCGCACACACACGGTTATGTGTGTATGTCGAATTTCTTTCGCACCGTACGTAGATAACTGCGCTAACGTGTTAAACTAAGGACAACAAACTAAAAACAAAAAGCAGTTAGAAAGAAATGAGCTTTCAATCTGGATGATTTAAAAGTGCACAGCTCCAAGTGGCTTCCTCGAGCCGGTAGTGAAAATTCCACATGACCATGGCAAGCGCCAGTCCATCCATAGTTGACTTTCCACAATGCGGTACTATTTTATCGACCACAAATGACGGTGATGATGATTGGTGATGTTTCACCGAGGCGAACCACTGGACCGATAAATACACCAACACACAGTGACACAACAACAACACATTCTAGATTTGAAGTTTTCGTGACTGCAAAGGATCCATACTCTTTGGTTTTTCGGTAAAGTCACGAAGGTGGAAAATAAAATAAACTAAAATGAAAACATTTTTTAAATAATTTTATTTTTTATCTACGTAACTTTACCGAAAAACCCCAAAGAGTTTGTAACAAACAACACAATTAACAGACATATTCTCGTGATGGTTGTTTTTTTACCAACTTATTCTAAACTGGCGCAATTAAAAT